CCTCCTCCTTCTTCTTCTTCTTCTTCACCAGGACTTAGTTGCATAGGTTACGCTTTTCTCCTGACAGGAAAGATCTAAGCCCGCCCCTCTTCTTTTTTCTAAAACTCTCGTGGCAGAACCTTCTGGCTGTTTCTATTACCTTTAAAATAAATTGTTTAAATGGCTCCCATTTCCTCAGTTGTATGCCGGGGCAAAGGTCTCAACCAAAAGGTTTTTTGTCCCGTTAGTGATATGTTCGGTTCATCATTTCTTTGGTCTGCCTCTCTTTCTTCTGCCCTACACTACTCTTGGTACAACGGTCTATGCAAAGCCAGTCAAAATAGAAAAGTAATCGCACCTCCCAGCCCTATTTTCTTAACCGTTGTCATAAGATCTTTTTTTTTTTTTACTTGCTAAATCGAAAGCCTAATCAGTAACCGAACTAGTGTAAAAAAAAAAAAAATCAAAGTGAAACTGTGACAAGTTATTGCATGAATTAGTATTCAAATTTCGGAAGAACTCTTTTTTTTAAATAGTTACGCAAAAAGCCTCTACATCTCGAAACTGCTGTGAATTTTTAGAAAGGCGTTTTGTCAGCTTACGGCAGATCACCGACTATCCTATCGTCTTACAAGAGTAACAAACACAAAAAAGGAGGAGGAGAAATAAAAGCCGAGAGGACTTGTTTAACAGGAAAGAGGGAGCTAACCACACCACAGCAACCTACAATCACCCATACCCTTCCTGTCTTCATTCTTCACCACCATTCTCCTCAAATTCCCCCACTCTCTATTTTTTTCAATAAGCGAAAAGACAGCCTGTCCGTCTCGGCCTGAGGCCGGTCTGGCACAGCACAACAAGCCTAGAGTAGCAATCGGAAGGAAGCGCCGGTTCCAATCATCGCCTACTACAACACTTTAACAGCAACCGTTGGTCAATCTCCAGGCCCCAGTAAGCAGCGACGACCCGTTGGTCCACTTCACAAAAAAACTAGGTCACCGGATTTCCGGCCCCCAGCACGGCCGGTTGACTCTCAGACGGGTTAACCAATCAGCGAACAGAGAATCGAGATCTCAAGCCGTCAAGTTCTTAGGATATTTTCTGTCTTTTTTGTCATTTCGTGCTTTCATGTTGGATAATATGTACTTTCGTTTTGTTGTACGTTGTAATTTCTCTTTACATTGACAATAGGTACATGAGGCGAAAAATAATAGATGGAAGCTTTATTGGTGCATGCGTGCAAGGAGGAAATGTCGATGATGATGATGATGATGATGATGATGATGATGATGATGATGATGATGATGACGACGACCAACTATTACAAAGATCGACGAACGACAGCAACAAAGACAACGACGACGAAGACGACGATGACAATAAAACAGACGCCTGAGACGAATTTTTTTTTTATAGGCCTACAAACAAACTTACCGAGCAGCAGTCTCTGAAGCGTTGAGCGTCGGTGGCTGTGGAGAAGTTGAGTCCCCATTCACACTGGGAGCCGGCGTCTCTCCAGTGAACGAAACATTCGGTGGCCGGGCAGATGATGGTGCCTGAGAACACAGACAATTATTGGTTGATTGGTTTAGTAGGAGTTTTACGGTATTTGTTGTGTTTCAGGTTGAGTTTGAGTAGGTGTTTTACGGCACTATCAACTCAGTTATCTGTTGTGTTTGTTTGTTTGTTTGTTTGTCTGAATAAAGAGAAGAACATCAACACAATAATGAACAGATGATAGTGCCTGAGCAGTGTTATTGTTTGTGTAAGAGTTTTAGTTTTACGGTATTTGTTGCGTTCGTTTGTTTGTTTGTTTGTAGGTCTGTTTGAATAAAGACAAGCACATCGACACAATAATGGGCAGATGATGGTGCCTGAGAACAGACAATTGTTTTGTTGGTTTAGTAAGAGTTTAACGGTATTTGTTTGTTTGTTTGTTTGTCTGGTTGGCTGGTTGTTTGTTTGTTTGTTTGTTTGTTTGTTTGTTTGTCTGGCTGGCTGGTTGGTTGGTTGGTCGTTTGTTTGTTTGTTTGGATAAAGAGAAGCACATTGACACAATAATGGGTAGATGATGGTGCCTCAGAACAGACAATTGGTTTATTGGTTTGGTTCAGTAAGAGTTTAGTTTTACGATATTTGTTGTTTTGTTTGTTTATTTGTTTGTTTGGCTGGCTGGATGGCTGGTTGCTTGCTTGCTTGCTCGTTTGTTGGTTTGTTTGTTTGCTTGAATAAAGAGAAGCACATCGACACAATAATGGGGAGATAATGATGCCTGATAACAGACAATTGGTTTATTGGTTTTGTAAGAGAATTTTATTTTTATTGTATTTGCTTGTTTGTTGGTTCGTTTGTTTGTTTGTTTGTTTGATTGATTGATTGATTATTTGGTTTTTTATTTGATAAAGAGGAGCACATCGACACAATAATGGGCTGATGATAGTGCCTGAGCAGAAACGATTATTTTATTGTATTAACAATCGTTTAGTTCTACGGTATTTTGCGGTGATTAATTGTTAATTTGTTTGCTTGAATAAAGAGAAGCACATCGACACAATAATGGGAGGATGAGGGTTTCTGAGAACGGACAATGTTTTATAGTTTCAGTAAAAGAGTCTTATTTTTAAGGTATTTGTTGTTTTGTGTGTTTGTCTGTTTGTTTGTTAGTGCGTTTGTTTGTTTGTTTATTTGTTTGTTAGAAAACGACACGCACAACGACACAATAAGGAGCATATTATAGTGCCTTCGCAGAGACAATTGTTTTACTGTTTTAGTAAGAGTTTTAGTTTTACGGTACTTGCTGTGTTTGTTTGAAAAAAAGAATAGCATATCGACACAATAATGGTTAATAAAGGCTGGGGAAAAATAAGACAGACAGACAGACAGAAATAAGACGGGAAAATAAAAGAAGTAGGACCTACCAATAGCGCCCTCCAATCACCCGCTTTACAACATTTACAGCATGAATATGTTCTATAAATGCCAAAGATTATAGATGTTACTAGAGAGTAATATACAGAGAAGAGTAGGAAAAATTATGACGATAGAACCTTGATTGGAAAGAGGAAGCAACCTAAACCAGAACACCCACTAACCACCCTCTTTTTCTCTCTCCCTATGTCTATGTCTCTCTATCTCTGTCTGTCTGTCTGTTTGTCTCTCTCTCTTTCTCTCTCTCTCCCTTTCTCTTTCTCTCTCCCTTCCTCCCTCTCTCTCTCCCTCTCTCTGTCTCTCTCTCTCTGTCTCTCTCTCTCTCTCTC